TTCATTCTGATCTGCCCTTGGTTTTACTCAACCAATCCAGATATTTTGCAAGTCTGATCCAGTCCCGGTTTTACTCCACCAGTCCAGATATTTTGGAAATGTTATCCACTCCAGGTTTTACTCTAACACTCCAGATCCTGTAGAAGTCTCATCCAGTCCGGCTTTAACGCTACCAGTCCAGATCCCTTGGAAGTCTAGTCTGCTTTGGGTTTTACTCTACCAGTCCAGATCCCTTGGAACTCAAATCCGCTCAGGGTTTAACTCGACCATTCCAGATCCCGTTTAAGTCTGATCTGCTCTTGGTTTTACTCAACCAGTCCAGATATTTTGGAATTCTGATCACTTCCGGGTTTTACTCTTCCAGTCTGGATCCCTTGGAAGGTTGATCCACTCCAGGATTTACTCTTCCATTCCGGATCCCTTCAAAGTCTGATGCAGTCCGGATTTTACACTACCAGTCCAGATCCCTTTGAAGTCTGATCCACTACAGGTTTTATTCTACCAGTCCAGTTCTTTTGGAAATGTTATCCGCTCCAGGTTTTACTCTAACACTTCAATCCCATAGAAGTCTCTTCCAGTCCGGCTTTAAAGCTACCAGTCCGGATCCCTTGGAAGTCTAGTCCGCTTTGGGTTTTACTCTACCAGTCCAGATCCCTTTGAAGTCTGATCCAGACCTTGTTTTGCTCTGCCACTCCGGATCCCAATCCTAGTCTACTAGTCCGGATCTCTTGGAAGACTGATAAGATCCCAGAATTTACTCAACCAATCCAGATCACTTTGAAGTCTGATCCGCTCCGAGATTTATTCTTACAGTTCGGATCCCTTCGAAGTCTGATCCAGTCCTGGTTTTACTCTTCCATTCCGAATCCCTTGGAAGTTTTATCCGCTCCGGGTTTTACTCTACCAGTCCAGATATCTTGGAAGTCTAAAGAGGTTAGGAGTTTACCCTACCAATCTTAATCCTTTGGAAGTCTGATCCAGTCTGGATTTTACTCGACCAGTCCGGATCCATTGGAAGTCTGATCCAATCCGGGTTTTATTTGACCAATCCAGATCCCTTGGAAGTCTGATCCACTTCGGGGTCTAACTCTCCCAGTCCAGATCTCTCGGAAGTCTGATCCTGTCCGGGTTTTACTCTTCCATTCCGAATCTCTTGGAAGTTTAATCCGCTTCGGGTTTTACTCTACCGGTCCAAATCCCTTTGAACTCAAATCCACTCTGGGTTTACTCCACCAGTCCAGATCCCTTGGAAATTTGATGCAGTCCGGGTTTTGCTCTACCAGTCCAGATCCCTTGGAAATCTGATTGGGTCCAGGTTTTACCCTAACAATCCTGATCCCGTCTCTTCAGGTCCGGGTTTAACTACCAGTTATGATCCCTTAGAAGTCTGATCCGCTCTTGGTTTTCCTCTACCAGTCCGAATCCCTTGGAAGTCTGATGCAATCTGGGTTTTGCTCTACCATTCCAGATATTTTGGAAGTTTGATCTACTCCGGGTTTTCCTCTACCAGTCCGGATCCCTTCAAATTATGATCTGCTCTGGGTGTTTACTCTACCAGTCCGGATCCCTTTGATGTCAGGATTTTAATAGACTAATCCTGATCCCATGGAAATATGATCCACTCCAGGTTTTGCTCTTCCCATCCGGTTCCCTTGGAAGTCTTATCTACTCCGGGTTTTAATCTACCAGTCCAGATCCCTAGGAAGTCTGATGCGGTCCGGGTTTTAATCTTCCAGTTCGAATCTTTTGAACGTTTGATCCGCTACGGGTTTTATTCAACCAGTCCGGATCGCGAGGAAGTCTGATCCGCTCTGGGTTTTACTCAACCAGACCTGATACCTTGGAAGTCTGATTCGTTCTGGGCTTTACTCTAGCCGTCCGGATCCCTTGGATGTCTGATCCGCTCCGGGTTTTACTCTCCTAGTCCGTATCCCATGGAAGTCTCTTAATCACAGAAACATTCACTCATACCACTCATTGAGAGAGGCTTTTGTATTATCTATTATGATAAACGAACACAAGATGGCAGTGCAGAATAATAATGTGCTGATGATACATTGCAACTTGTCATGTTGACCTAAGATTGTCACTTTTCAAGTTGTACATTTAAAGGTCAGTGATGACATTCTTCATATCTGAAAGAAAAAAATTACAGAACAATGCTCTACAGCACAGTCATTGTGGTACAGAACTTCCCAGTATTACTATGACACCACAGTAACTGTAAAGCAAAGCATTGCGATAGTGTGATATATAATAGTCACAGTGGGATACTGTACACTGAAGAAGAGAATTTTGCAATGACAGAGTGAACAGCACCATGACGTGGTATTGTGATTGGGTTAGAGGAGGCTTTTATAGCTAAATACTGAAAAGTTTTTCCTTTATTTCTTTAATATGATAAAGTCCACAGATGTCCTCCTGTCTGCAAAATCTGATATCCATTGATCTTATGCTGAACTAAAATTTTTGGACATGAAATATCAATATCAGGTGGGGGGATAAATTAATTTTTCTTTTTAATTTTGCAAATAAAATCTAGGTCATATTGCTACATTTAAGTGGATTGAGCTGAATTCTTAAATGTGGACATAAAAGCTTTTCCAGGCATCCTCTGAGGTAGAAGAGTATATCATTTCTGGAAAGGGGATTGAGAGAAATGGAGGCACCAGACAGCAATATGTAGTTGGACGGCTTCCCATTTAGGACAACCAACCAATTTATCCCTTGAGCCCCTGTAGCATTTTGCACTGCAGGATTTGATAGCAAAAGGATCTTCTTGAACACCTGATGGCTAAACTGTGTTTCCCATGCAGTATATCACAAGATGAAGAACCATCTGTCAAACTCAATTTGATTTCTTACTGAAAAGCATCATATTTTGAATTTGGAGTCTTGCAGTGAAAGGAAGAAAAGGGAAAGTTAATCAAAGGGGAAGGAAAGGGGGACAAAAAGAAACTTGTGAAAATGGAAACAGTAGCTCGGACTACTACTAGCAAAAGAATAGAAAACTAAGCACTTTGAGAACTATATAAAAATATTATTAAATCTGGGAGGTCTTTTCCATTGGATATGTGAAAAGCTGAAATCTGTAAATGCAGACATTTAGAAGTCCATCACTGGAGATGGTAAAAGGTGAGGCCCAATGTCAATATACTTTTTTTTTCACAAAAGCATTACAGTTAAGGATATTGGTGTTGCTTGTTATTGCTGTTCATTTCAACAACATCTTCAAGCAACTTCAAACATCAAAGTCTGGGGCTGGCCTGCATGCAAGGTTTCAACAGGAAATATATGATGATTATTATTACACTGTACAAAATGAAATACTGCTGTCTGACACACCAAGCAACACAGAACAGACTGGGCCAAACAAGATAAAATATTCAGTTTTAATCAAGACTTCATGTTTCTCATCTATAAATACACAAAAACAATATAAATATTATACATGAATATATACAGTACATGTATATATAAATAAGACATACACAGATATCTATGTGCATATATATTTATTGATCTGTGTATATCTCCACATCACAGTTACAGTAGTGCAGCACATTCACAGTTCACAACCTCTACAGTTTCATTCTACTCACAGGCAGGAGATCACATCATTTTAAGAAAAACTATATACTTTTCAAAAAGGTTTTTGGTGGTGAAATAGTTCTGGTTATGTCCATGCCTGCTGTGGATGGTTTGTGCAGATCAGTAAAAAGCTGGTAAGTCCTGCATGTATGGAGTAGCAGACTGGTAACTGTCTGCACAATTCTGTCCAGTGGCCAAGAAGTTACAGGTCCATGCATTTCATTTCAGTCCCATCATTTCATTATTTCATTTCAGTCTTCATTAATGCTCCATAAATCCCCTACCACCTCCAACAAATGCACCATTCCATTTTTCTTTTCCCATAATAAAATAAAACCACTACTGTACACCACATAAGTTAAAGTACACCAAAAAAGGAACCTGAAATATCCTTTAGTATTTTTTGCTTCCTTAATTTTGTAAAATTGTATTGCTGCCAACACATGACTGATCATAAGTGTCCACAGGAGGGTCTCAGAGTGTCAGCTTTTTCCGCATTTTTTTCTTCTTCTTTGAGTTTGTAATACCATCAGATCCAGTGCTGTATTTCAGTGCAATGATCTTAGATCACAGAGAGGCATTTACTGAGAGGCCAGGCTTGTCTTCACCGAGAGAGAAGGGGGATCCTGCACCTCAGTCCAACAGGTTTTCTTGATCTTTTAAATTAAATTTTAATTTAACTTAGTTTTAATAACTATAATAATCTCTTAACTACAACTTAATACCTGTGGAGAGAAGTTCACAACTGGGCTGTGGCTCTGGAGAGGGCAACAGCAACAGCAGTGATCTCCAGACGAGCTCAAGCTCCCATTGCAGGCTGTGGGCTGTGTAGGGGCCTCAAGCCAGCAGCAAAAGGCTTTCTAAACCAAAATAAATAAACCAGAACAGTTATTAGTTCAGGTAGAGTGTGTTAATAAAACCTAGTACACTACCTTAAGAGTTTATGGTTTAATATATTTAGACGTATTTGACCTTTACCTAGTCCTCGCCAATAGTACATAAAACCTTATTTGACATATAACACACAAAAGTCTACTTTTGCATTATTTATTTTTAAAAAATCAGCCAGCATTCAATATCTGTGTGTGAAAAAATGTTAGTTCAACTATCTCAATTAAGAAGTATGTAGAATCAGGTGCAACAAGAAGATGTGCAAATGATTACCTGATCATCAGGAAACTTTGTCAGTTTGGTCCACTCGGGTTTGTGGTAACACATCATGTCCAGATCAAAAGAAACTTGTTACAGTCTCTGAGAAAATTATTGCTTCTTACCAGTTTGGCTACTAGCCATTTCCAACCTTTTCCAAGCCCTTTGTTCTATGGTAAGAAAGATAAGACAAATGGAAATAATTCAAGTCTGTTACCAATCTACCAAGTAGTGCCAGTCCTACCAAATCCTCTCCAAAATCTGACTATATTAAGTTCTTAGATGCTTCAAAGAACCCCGGGGCTACACACAGGGATCTACAGGCCTCTCTTGCAATGTTGAATGTCAGAGTTCATGAGGCTACAATCAGGAAAAGACTGAATAAGAAATAATAACTGCTTTCATGTAAGGATATCCATGAGGAAGCCCCTGTTTTTCAAGAAGAACACCATAAGTCTGCAAAACAGCACTTGAATGAAAAACAAGACTTATGGAACAATGTGTTCTGTACAGATGAGTCAGAAGTGGAGTTGTTTGGCCATCATACAGAATGTCATGTTTGGTGAAAACCAAACACTGTCTCTGACCAGAAGAACCCCATACCAACCATCAAGCATGGTGGTGCTGGGGAGGTGGTTTGGCCCTTCTTTGCTGCCTCAAGACTGGATGCCTTGCTATCGTTGAGTCTAGAATGAATACTACACTACACCAGAGTATCCGAGAGGAAAATGTCTGATAGATAAAGCTAAACTGAAAATGAATCATGCAAAAAGACAATGATTTCAAACACACAAATCTAAATGAATTTCTCTGAAGAAATTCAGGATTTTGGAATGGTCAAATTGCAGTGTAGACATAAGCCTTACAGAGATGTTGTGGCAGAATCTAAAGAGAGCTGTGCATACAAGAAAGCCCTTGAACATCACAGAGCTGAAGTAGTTCTGTAAGAGTGGGACAGAATTCCTTCCAGGTAATGTGAGAGACCGATCAACTCTGAAAAGGAGAAAAATGTATTTAAAGTTATTGATGCAAGACATGCCACAAGTTACTAAATCCAGGGGTGAACTTATTTTTTCACACAAAGATATTGAATGTTAGCTGATTTTTTTTTACAATAATGACAAAAGAGATTTTTTATTTGTCAAATAAAACTGGTTTGATATAATTTTGGGATTTGGTGTAAATTATTATTTTACTATTTTAAACCCTAAAATCGTAAAGTACAGCACTTTTCCACAATAATTAAAGTAACTGAGAAGTGTGTTCTAGTAACAACCAGAAGTACCTGTAGATCTTCATTACAAGAACTGGAGAAACCTAATCTAAAAGCAGATCATCTGGCAGTATTTGTAATTGTTCATTCATTCGGTCACTCGCTGAGCCTCATTGTTTCTCCTTCTGTTTTCTGCTTATTTTCTAATTTTCTCCCACTCCATATTATTATTCTTCTATTTTAGTAATATCGCTTAGTTACATCCTGTACTATTCATGCCTACTGCAGGGAAACTGCATTATTTTGTTTAATCTAGAGTGGACTACTGTAATGACCTTCTGCAATTTCCCTCACGGGATCAATAAAGTATATATCTTCTAGCTTGGGCATTAAAAACACTTTGAATCGGTGACCACACTGGAGCCCAGAAGGGAGGCTTGAAGAAGTGATTTTTCACTTGTGGCCAGCTCTCACTGGACAAAGGACAACTGTCCTGACATAATGGAGAATCACCACAAAATATAACTCTTAACTGTGCAAGGGAGATATACAGTACATATGGAGGACAGCAATACAACTGCGGAATACTCATTGGTTTACTTGATAGCTTGATATCTAACAGAGTTTAACATGCAGAGGTCCTTTTTAAAGTCATTATGTGTTTGTTTAATTTACAAGTAGTCAATAAAATAATAGCATCTCTGGCTTGTAGAAATTAACGTTAACCTAATGGGGCAGTCTAGAGTAGTCCAAGCATCTTCTGGCACACAGAGTTCACTGTATTTTTAAGAGAAGTACACCAGGATCATGCTAATTATGACTGTAAGAACAGGCCAATGATTCATCATTTTAATTTTTTCATTTTCTCATTTGAAAGAGTGCAGGTACTTCTGGAAGACATTTTAAATATTTAAATATTATACTTAATTAAAAAATCATTATTTAAAAAATAAAAAATATCTTATGGTTGATCATGTAGATTCACTAGAATTGTTGCTGGATTTAAACGTGATGAATACAAAAGGGTACAGCTTATGTTTACTGCCTCTTACAACTGGTTGTAAGCCTTCATGTCTGTCTCACTAACTCCTTCCCTCCATCTAACTTGCTTACTCCCAGGCTTTCCCCTCTATTTCCCCCTGCCCTCCCTCGGGAACTCGGATCTCTCTCACTCTCTCACAGCCTCTGTTAGGCAGCGGTCAGTGGCATCACTGCACTCCAGCCTGACCTTGCGCCCTTTCCGTGGTTCCACCCAGGAATTGTGTATGACAGTGCCGCTGGGAGCTGGGTCCACCTGCAGCAATGAGACCACCCTCTTCTTCACTTTACTCTTCAGCACTTTGCGTAGCTTCTGGCGTGTAAAGGCATACAACAGAGGATGGAAGATGGTGGTGCCGTATGCCATGGCCAGGAAGCAGATCCGAAGCCTGACCAGCCAATCGCTAGGACCCATGCACAGGATCAGCACATTCACCACAGAGATTGGCGCCCAGCAACCCAGGAAGGTGGAGATGATAATGAGTGACATCTTGAAGACTCTTCTCTGCCGCTCGCGGCGATCCCTGTGCCGTCTCACGGCACGGCGCAGGGCGATGATGGCTGACACAGAGGCCTGGACACCCATGGCAGCGGCTGCTGCTGCTGCTGCCCCTCCTTCCCCCATCCCCAGTCCCAGCCCCAGCCCAACCCCCTCTCCGTCGGCAGCAGCAGCAGCAGCCAGATGGGTTTGTGGCTGGGCCACGGTGGGTGTCAGGGGTGGTGGCTGGGGGGAGGTAGGGGTTGGGGAAGGCGTGGGTATGAGAGGTGGCTGAGAGAGCCGCTTTGTCTCACTGGACAGCCCACCGCCCCCCCCTCCTCCTCCCACCCCCTTCCTTCTCTTCCTCCTCCTGCCCTTTCCAGTGCAGCCTGAGCCCTTGCGGCGCTGGCTCCTCTTGAAGTGCGAACCAATACGAATGTTGAGGGCCTGCAGGATCTTTGAGTAAGTGACTAGCATGACTACTACAGCTGCAAAGAAGATGGGCACCTGGATTAGCAGGTGGTAATACATGCCCAGTTCAGTGTGGTAGCCTTGGCCACCAACACACAGCAGTGTTCGGTTCCGCCAGGTGGAGGCATGGTCTGTCGCACGCCCCCCGAAGAACTCCACCTCAAAGAAGGGAATGAAAAAGACCACCAGTGAAATACCCCAAACCCCAGTCAGCAGCATGGCGGCACGGCTTGGGGTCAGTATGCGGTTGGCCGGGCGCACAGATATGTCATATCGATCCATGCTGATGACCAGGACGTTGACAGCAGTGGCGATGCTGGTGAAGGTGACACAAGCCTCATGAAAGCAGCAGACCAGAGCAATGTCTCTCTCCAGAGGGATCAAGATGATAACGATAGTGAGCGGCACACACACCACACACACAATGATGTCAAGCACGTGGAGGTTCACGGTCACCATGTTGCTGACTGAGTCCACCAGGTTGGATTGCACACAATACAGAACCAGGACTGTCAGGTTGCTGCTGAATCCCAGCACCAGCTCCAACATCAAGAAGCTGGTGAGAGACACCTGGAAGCTGACAGGATAGGGGAGGTACCAGCCCGTGTTTGGCCCACTGGTACCATCCGTTGTCTCCAGGAGCTCGTTGTAGCTGTCTGTTTCCATGGCTGTAACCCTGCTGCTTCCTGAAACATAGCAACAGCTACCAATGTTCTTCCGCCAGCACCTTCAGCCTCCAGCTGCAGAGCCAAAATCACAAGTGATTGGACTGTCACCCAGCACACCTGAGTGCCTCAGTTCCCCTCCTATTGTAAAAAAAGACAAACACAAGAGGAAAAGGGAGAGATGAAAGAAAGAGAAAGTTCTTAATCTGCAAGAATGTTAAGATTCATCATATCCGTGTGTCACATTAATGACTACATTTAATCCTTTCTCCTTAACTCACTGAGCTGGGTTTTTCTGTCAAGTGAAGATCTTGTCCCAGTGCCTGTTTCGGATCCCAACAAATGTGCAGAGTTGATTTGGTAATAAAACCGATTTTATTTCCAAATCAACTCTGCACTGAATCAACAGATCAAGATTTTGTCTTTCATGTAGACATTGTTAAACTGTCACGATCGCTACTCCCCCTCTTAAGGGCACTCCAGCCCTTCCTCGTTTTCCCCCATTGTTTACACCTGTTCCTTTGCCCAGCCCCTCTTAGTTCCACCTTTAAAGCCAGACGCAGGCGTTTGCCCGAGGCTTCTCATTGAATCCCGTTTCATGAGAGCCCGGGGTCCTGCCATGTCTGGCTCCGTCATGGTTTTAGTTTCCTGTTCCTGATTCCCTGTCCCGCCGGTTCCGACCCGGTTCGTGTTTTTAGTTCCTTTGGATGGATCCCCTGGTCTTGGACTCTGCCTCCTGTATTGGATTTCCCCTTTGGATATACCCTTGGATTGTAGGCCTTGGATTCACTCCCCCTGGACACCTGCACTCATCGGACACGCCCCCCGTCTCCAGACCCTTCTCCTGGATGACTGTTTTTCCCTATTGTATCCTTACAATTCCGGATCGTGTCGTCCGCATAGGGCCCGGAAAGAACTGATCGTTACATAAACACTGTAATTTCAAAATCAGTAATATAGGTTCTGGCCCATTGCTCTTTCTATACAACTGACAAACTAGTAACACTGGAAACTTGTTAACACTAGTGAAACTAGTTAAAATTGCAGATGATACTAAACCAGGGAAGTGGGAAGCAAAAGTAGCAGCAGGGTAGGAAATTGGAAAATTGATTTGAATATGAAGTGTAAATGAAGTAAGGATGCTACACATGAAAACCATCTGGGTGTTCATGTAAATTCCTCTACTCCCCCAACAATACACAGGGGGAACCTATAGGATGCTAAATATAAACGTATTTAAACCCAGGGATGCAATGCTCAGGTTTTACAAAGACCCCATTGAGAATACCACATTCCATTATAGTCACCAGAGCAAAAAAGGGTTCTACACCCTTAGAAAGAGTTCATAGAACAGCAACTGGAAGGATTGCTGGTCTCAAGGGAATGACATATAAACGCTGGTTAAAGAGCTTCAATATTCATGTTTTGAAAAAGGAGACTGGGAGATTTAATTAAAGTTTATAAAAATGTTAACCAAGGGGACTATTTCAAGTTCAGTTGTGAAACAAAGAGATTCTTGGAAACCTAAATTTAATTTAGGAAGAGGAAGGGTGTCTGGGACAGGTTTTCTAACTAAGGCCCAAACTCTGGGCTCCTTCAAGAAGTCTGAACAAATGTTAAGAATTACTTACCTGCTCAACTTTTTTTTTTTTTTTTTTTGTTAACAACTACCAGGTTAACAAGATTATTTCTTGTTGGCAACTTTTATAATGTTCTTATTTGTGAATTAAAAGTCTGACAGGAGAGATTCTATTTAGTACCGACCACATGCTGAGGCCTGTATCCAGGCATCACCAGCCCAAGCCTGGCCTGTGGCACTGCATGTACTTGGGGCAAAGGCTTGGGGGGTTGTGACGAGAAACTGGCACTAACTCTGCCGTAAGTACCTGTGGATCTCAGTGTCTGAAACACAAATGATTCAGACAGGAAAGGGAGCCAGAAAATACAAAACATCATTCACCCTGTTATACTGCAGGTACAGTAGTGAGCCAAGCTGATAAACAATTGACAATCCAAGGTCAAAAGAGTACAAAGTGGGAAAAATCACCCAAAATTCCACTTGAAAAAAAAAATGACTGAGCTGCTCTCCAGAACCGAGTTGCATTCTTTCAAGTGTTCGAAATAAGTTGCTTTATATTGCTGCAATGTTTAAACACTGAGTTTCATGAGTGCTTTCTTCATCATGGTTGTGGATTTATACTGTCTGTCTACATATTGCAGCTGCTCAGCTAGATGCTCAGCTAGAAGCAGTGGTTATGTAAATCAAATAATTATTTGGTTTTCTAATTAATTTTAAACAAAAACATTTATTTTCCTTGCAATTGTTAAACAAGAGGTAGGACAGGGGCCCAGTGACAATGACTGCAGTTTAAAAGACTGGGACCATTCCATTGGGACTCCTGTCTTCAATTAAATTATTCACTGAAACCACCTAACTGATCCTGGTGGGTTTAATAAATGTCTGGTAAAATGTACACATAGTGTAAGAATCATTACATTTAATAACCCATTTATTTGGATTGAGGAACTAATTTTTGAAGATGTATGGCAAAGACAAGTCTACTCTGGCTGGCACACATAGAAATACAAACCAACACAGAAACACACATTTGCTCAGTTACTCATTAGAACAAAAAATACACAAAGGAAGACAAAATAATTCAACAGTGCTTGAGATGTCCATCTGCTTATGAAACGCATTGGTAGATGAAAGAAAAAACGTTATGAATACAGTATACTGTCTCCCAGGGGCCTTGTTAACATCGCCACCGAGGGAAGACTGTACTAATACCATCTGTTACCCCTGGGAACAAATGGCTTTTCAGGAACTCAGGTTCTCTCAAGAGCAGTTTAGACATTATCTGCATCTTCCTCATAACCTAATTTCTCTGTAGTTACAGCCTTCTGTTATGCTACAGAGAAACACTTCTTAGCCGTCTGCAGGTTCTGCTGTTAACATTCTGCTAACCGTATTGCTACCACGATGTTGACAGTGGCAATAGTAACAATTTCCGAAGAAACAACATATCCTATGAATTTTTAATGTGTTTTTTTACCACTGTTGCTGCTCTCGTGCAAAATTGTATCTCCCAGTGAAATAGTAGTAAATCACTTTTTCACAGCATGGCAAAGTTTAAGCATGGTGGAAGCATGGTAATTCTTGGAAAGCTTGTTAAAGTTCTACATCAGTCTACCATGGTCTTGGAATGTACCATGAACTTAAAATATTTTCAGAAACATTTACAACCTACAATTGAAAGCTTATTGCTCAAAGTATTACTTTAGCAGATTCAGAGCATTTCAAGGTTTTTTCAAGTGGGAAAAGATTCAACAGTGATTCAACAGAAAAAAGAGATAAGGACATTAAATAATGATATAAATAACACCAACGGTTTCTCCCACTTTGAGCAATACTGCAGGATATCTTGTTCAGTTTTATAACCACGTTTTCTAGAGAGCTAGAGAAATTAAAATGTTAGTGCTCAGACTGCACAACATCATTATCCTGTTGTCTGGGTTTCCAGTTTGCACACCAAGCAACACCAGGTTTGAGTGGTCTTCATATGAGTCAGGATGTCCTTAGTTTACCACTGAATGCTGATGTTTTCATCTTGTCTGACATCAATGAGAAATAGTTCAATTAGGTAGCTGTGTTAGCAAGCGTAGGCTGCAAAGGAACAAGTAAAGGTTTATTCCATGCTAAAAAGAGAAGAAAAGAAATACAACGTTCCAGCCGTGGAGCCTTCTTCGAGTGTGAGGAAGGCTCCACAGCCGAAATGTTGTTTCCTTCTCTTTTCAGCATGGAATAAACTTTACTTGTTCCTTATCAATGAGAAGTGTTTGTGAGAAGCATCTGTCCTCCAGTATGTAATAACTCTTCTTTAAGACAAAAGAATGTAGCAGTGTCATTAGTTTGTAATCTAAATTAGAAGGGTCATAAAAAGAAAAATAGAGAATGATTCTAACTTACAAAAGCTTCATGATGAGATATGATGAGGGAATCATTTAAATATTAATCTACGCAAGTAGTACAATGGGCCAAGTAGCTCCTGTAAATTGTAACCAGGCTGATGATCTAATGGCAAATATTCTGGCCACAAATCACCAGTTCAATTAAGCAAATTATTTATATTGCCTAAATAGGAACTGAAGCAACAATCGAAGCTAGAAGACATTGATCCTTAAGATCTCAGAAAGATCTGGACCTTAATGGCTGAACCTAATAAGTTATTAAACTGCAAGGATGGGCGTAGACTTCGCACCCAGAGTATTCGTACACACTACTAATATTCTGTCATTGGTACAGGAATAAGATCCTGCCTCCTGCTCACTGAAATCTCCAGTTTGTCTTTACCACTTGTGGGTCCGAGCCTGGCTGCTCCCAGGTGGACTCTCTGAGGATAGAGTAGGGCTGATGGTTGTTTCAGGCAGTGCCTGAGTCAGAGTATTATTGACTTACTGTCAAGAATAAAGTGTTTTCACTCAGTCAGCAGAAACTATATGAGGAAGGAGGCAAAGGTGAAAAAGAGAGAAAGAAGAATTATGGAGCAGACAAGGGAGAGGGGATGGGTAACATCTATATTTTGTATGCATGAAAGGAGCAGTCATTGCAATGAAAGTTAAATAATTCAAAGTTAATTAGCTGACCTTCTCAATGCTGTGCAAAATTAAACATTGTCCACTATATTCCCATTGAAACCACCATCATCCCAGCAATAGCAGGTTTCCCATATTCTCTCCCAGTATCAGAGTCCCCGTTCTCAGGAGCTGATGTAGGGTCCCCAAGACAAAGCCCCTCTGACAACAGAATCTGCCATCTGTCTCTATTTCTCCCCGCTGGCAGTGGGAGCACAGCCTGTCCTCTCTGGGTAGTCAGGTCTGCCTGTGTCGCACAATTTTTATGGCCAGGCTGTGGTCACTGAGCCTGTACTTCTTCAGGGTCTGTTTCTTTTTGCTGTTTCTTATCTTGGTCAAATATTCAGATAGCATGTATTGTCTGTTTAGGATTCTGTAGCATTCCAGTTTATGTTGTCTTTGTGTGTATGTGTCCCAGTGTGTGAGATATTGCTGTTTGATCTGTTCTGTGATGTGGTTGAGTCTGAGTTGTGGTGCTCTAGCAGTGCTGTCCTGATGCTGGTTAGTGTCGGTGTGGCTAGGGTCAGTGAGCCTCAGGACCAGCTGGCTCAGGAGGCTCTGTTTAGGGCTCAACTCTTGGCTCAGCAGGTGGTGGTAGGAATTTTGGTCGTTGTTTTTTAGGTGTCTCTTTTTACTATGTCTCTCACTGACATAGTGAGGCCAAATTAGTAGAGCAGTGCATCTCAGTGACACTACTGCATTCTCACCGGTGTCTCTGGAAACAGCACTGCGGTCTGTCTGATCTGCTTCTTCCTTTCCTGCTGTGGTCTCAGCCAGGGCGTAGTTCTGCAATAAGGAATGAGAAAGGGATCCATTTTTTCATTGTACGCAATGTTAAGCATTTGTCAGAAAGTAAAATAAATCCCTCCCTATCTAATAAAAAATTCCACCTATTCCAAATATGAAAAATGTACCACCAGAAGAAAATAGAAATCTGAAGAAAATTTTTCAGATTAGCAGTTTCTACCTTTTCATCAAGCTATTCCACTTAAAAGAGGAGAAGGGCGTTAAGCGCAAAAGAACTGAAAGTTAATTATTCAGTTCTTTTGCGCTTAACGTCCTTCTCCTCTTTTGACAGTGAATCAATATTTTTATTTTTTAAATTAAAAACTTTTGAGTAACAAAAAAATGAAAACAATTAGTATACGTTTCCACGTTCAATGATGCACACTGTGCAAACCAGAAAAGGAAAAGGCTGTTAATTGTGAAGCACAGAGATCCAAAAGACGGGGACAGCGACTCCACGAGTCCATTCAGAGACCGAGTGTTGAGTAAGCATGAGCAGGGAGGTACGAGACTACGAGAGCATAGATATCGATTATAGAGTAGCAATAAAAATGCACACAGCCAAGTTGGGCCTCTCGCAGCCAGTCTCATGTGGTCAATTTAGCATTTTTCAATTGCCAACCATGTTTGTTTTATTATTATCATATTTCTTGGAATTACATTTTTTGTGTGCAGTTCAATTTCCTATGTGCGCTTATTTCATAACCTGTATGTGCACGCACACGCGCACAGCTTAGAGGGAACATTGCAGGGGTCTCAGTTCTGCTCCTGGAGTGCCTGTCCTGAAGGTTTTAGAACTGTCTTCAATTGACAAGTCAGTGGATTTACATTCACTGAATCGAAAATCAATTTCTCTTTGAAGTTCAACATTAGTTCCACAGAGTGAAGTACTTTCTCAGTTGTCCCCCTGACCTCCTGACCTGCTGTGCAGAATCGCTGGCATGTATTCACTAGTAGGAGCAGCACTGGTGGAAGAGAGAACTGAGCTCCTGTGTGTGAAGCACTATGTCATCCTTTTGAATGAAAAGCACTATGAATCCATCTATCTGTTAGCCACAGCAGCCTCACCCAGTTGGGTGCCACCAGCTCCTGTGTCTCTGGAGGTGGATGAGGCTGCACCATGCAAGAGGAGCAGTGGCAGAGTTCTCTTGTGCCCAGTGATGACCCTGAACAACTGCGGTGACCTTGGGATTTGGCTCCACACTGCACGGTGATACCACACAGACCACAGGTAAGAGACAGCTGGCCAGGGCATGGCCATGGAGGCTTGGATAACCCTAGGGTACTGCTGAGTCTGGGCTGTTATCCTGAAGTTATGCCACAGACTTCCCACATGTCAGCACCCATTAAAAATACATAATTAATACACATATATCATCATTATAAAATGTTCTGTCTTAAGGAGAAGTCGTGTTTGCTCTTTATTAATAAGGGGTCTCCTTATTATATCAGTTCAAGCCATGAACAACACAGTGACCACACTGTATTGTTTCCCACTACTCCATTGAGTGCTCACTCTCCTGTGAGAGACTATGGAACCCACACTGTGTCAGTGAGGCACCCCACACCTCCAGTCAGAGCCCCCTGAGCCCACAGTGTGTCAGTGAGACATGGACAGGGAAAACACCAGCAAAATGACATTGAATTTAGACAAGGGCAGGACTGACATAGAACAGACATAAACTTTAAATACAGAACTAAAATGGGAAACTGAGAGGCTACATATTAAAAAGAGGGGGTTGTTTATGTTATTACTTCAATTTTATCTTATAGACAGGGTGGAGAAGAAGTAAATGTTCAGATACATAGTCAAGAATGCAAAATTTAAATCAAGGGAAGTTAAATTATGATCATACACTATAAATCACAAGTAAGTATGCCTCCTTTATAATACTGTGTACAGCTTTGGTCATCATGTTACATTAAACATTCTGGAATCAGTCTAGAGAAGATCAGCCAGATACATTCCAGGGCTTAAGGAAATCTTCTACACTGACAGGGTAAAACAACTTCTTAGTATTAGTTCAAGTTTAGTCTTGAACAGAGTGAACTGTGCCGAGATCTGATACAAGTATTAATAATCCTCATAGGCATGAATAAAGTGTTTAACCAGTGGATTTATTTAAAATAAACAGTGAAAGTGGATCCAGAGGACAAAAATGAAATCTACTGTATGTGGAAGTGCATTTAAAACAGAGGACGGATGGCACTATTTAAACCAACGGTTATGTTAAACAAGCTGCCCAACCATATTGTTCATTTTGTTTATTTGAACGCAGGTTCTCTCTCTTCTTCTGCATTCTCTGGTTTCCTCCCGCAATCCAAAAACATGCTGACAGATTAATCGGCTTCTGGAAAAACTGGGCCCCAAAATTGAGTGTGTGAGGGCTTGTGCCTCTGTCCCCTTCAATGGACTGAGTCCCGTCCAGAGTGAACTCTGCCTTGTTCCCATTACTTTCCGGGAAAGGCTCCAGCTCCCCCACAACCCTGAATCGGAGGAAGCTTTTAGAAAATGGAAGGATTGATCAAGTTGACATAAAGAAAACGTTTCACATAATGTTCAGTAATCCACTACTTTAGGGGTAAAATTATTAATCTTTATTCTTTACTTGCATAGAAAGCTGCTTTCAGGATTTGATTTTTATCCTTTGATAATTTCATTTTAATAACCTCCTTATTTTGTCATTTAAACAACCCCACATTTATCAAATATAACTGGTTATATATACAGTAGTTAAATATAAATACAGTTAAAAAAAATTAAAATGATCAACATTAAAAAGGAACTGCAAGTACCTGCCGCTGTTCTTTAGCATGGATAATAGCCAACATATCATACAAACAGCACAATACTACTGCACACAATCCCACACATTGTCATAGCAACACACTACACTCCATTACAACACTAAAGCACCCTTGTAGAAGTGCACTGTGGTAAATTAATAATGAAGTGTAGAAAAGCACAGTAAAGCTGTGGTAAAGTAATGGTATAGAGATGTAAAGGACAACAGAAACAATGTTTGAACAATAAAATGGGGTTGTACAGTGTGATGAATACAGCACACTGCTGCCTAGGTTAGTAACATGTAATATGTACAGCAGTGCTGAATGGAATGGAACCTGAAATCTGAGATTTCAAATACAATCCAGAGTAAAGCAACAGCGGAGAACCAGGATGAGACCAATGAACAAAAATCACCAGAGCCAGTAATATAAATATGTGCACCATGTGCTAGAGGCCAGGACCACAGAGGGGTCAGCACTGTTCTTCACTCGCCACCCACTAGCCTGCCACCCTGCTGTCTTTTTCACCCCCTATCCCTCCCACTCTCTCCTTCTCTCTCTGTCCTTATCTCCCTCTCTCCCTTTCCTTCTCCCTTTTACTTTCAGTCCTGCCCACTTCATGACTCCCCCTCCCTGTCTCTTCCCCCCCTCAGTGTTATGTAATTCTCCACTGACTCCTCTGCAGTTACTTTCCCACTCAGTTTCCAGTAACACTTTACTGCCAGTCAGAATCAGTGCAGTGCTTTTACACACAATTATTTTCTTTAGAATATCATAGAAACTGCAACAACAAACCAGCCTTTAAACGTTTTCGCTTTTGGAAGGTCACTGTGGTTGCCTATGAGGGTTCATATACCAGCAGCCATATCACCCTGCAACTCCCAGCTGACAGATGACAGCCCACTGGAGCTCAGCAGGTGTGAGCCTGGTCAGTACCTGGATTGGAGACTCCTTGGAAACTCCCTTCTGCCACCTTCAAAAGACGATGGTCGTTTCAGATGAGACTTAAAACCAAGGTCCTGACTCTCTGTAGTCATTAAAAATCCCAGGACGTTTCTCAAAAAGAGTAGGAGTGTTACCGTAGCGTGCTGGCAAAATTTCCCATTGGCCTTTACCAGCCATGGCCTCCTAATAACCCCATCTCTGAACTGGCTTCATCACTCTGCTCTCCTCCCCACTGAGAGCGGGTGTGTGGGGAACAGAATGGAGCATCACCCAGGTGGGGCTGCACACTGGTGGGGGTGGAGGGGATCTTCTTTACCTGTAAAGAGCTTTGAGTGGAATGCTCAGAAAAGCGCTATTGAAGTGTAAGCAATCATTAATTATTATTTTATTCACCCACAGCTGAGCACCGGGACTGAGAGCATCAGACTGCCAACTGCCTGGGACAGGGCGTGAGCATCAGGGGGACAGTGTAAGAAAAATAGTAAGCGGTTTGATAACTATAAGGATTGAAAAGACACAGGCAGAGCCATGAGGAGCAGGAGCAGCCATCAGAACATAGTGATCTCCTAATACAGAATGTGCACATCCTGTGTGTTTGCTCTGTATTCAGGGACATCTACCTCTTGACAAATAGAGCCCTGAAACAAGACTGAACAATCCTGGACACTGTGCAAAACACCAAGCACCAAACAGCATCAGGAATGGCTTTGTCTTGAGCAACTTCTCCATTTACAGCATTCTAATTATTTTTGTGGCACACTGAATTAGGAGCAGATGGTCTCTGCATTAGCAGATATAGTTAAGAACAGAACACTTTTAGAATAAAGACCAAGAAAAACAAATGTATTGCAAAAATAATCTGAATTGAAAACAGACTCTTAAAGAAAACAATGGCTTTGAGTAGGATGGTTGTTTACCTATAGAATCAACCAATCTCTTTGTGTCAAGAGCATTATTAGCAAACAGCAATTTTGTGTGGCACGATGGGATATTGTCAGCTGACAGAGTGTATGACCTGCTGGACCCTGATAGACCACAATGGTCCTGCGAACCGGCAGGATCAGACCACATCAAACCTGGTCTGACCACCACCCCCGGCACACAGCCCACAGCCCCGAGCACAATGTCGTCGAAGAGAAAATAGCTTAGAAATAAAAGAGAGAAAGAGAGCAGCAGTTGGTCCCTATGCTTTAAACTTAAGTAGATCTTGACTGGGTGGTAATACCCACCTCACTTTATTGTATTCAGTATGAATTTTATGCTGCACA